CGGACATTACTTGAACGCTGGAGGCCCTAGCGTTCATCTTAATGTCCGTTCAAATAAAGTCCGTTCAATTAATGTCCGTCCAAGTTAAAGTCCGTTGAGATTTTTTCAAAAATTTTCCATTTCGAACTTTTTGTCCAGAATATGACAACTTTGAGAACTTTATTGTGCCATAAGTTAACGACGGAAAGGTTCTCCTTGGTCTGCTGGAGGCACAAAAAACTCTACTACTACCACTACTAGTATATGATGTTTTCAAGGGTCACTTGGCGGAAAAAAGTCAACGAAATTATGGCATTCATGATTCAACAAAATAAGTCATGAACTAGTCCCCGCCAACATGACAAACTTGTTCCAGCCTTTATATATAACGGTAAATCGTGTTGCCAAGGACATTGTCCGACGTTGTTATAGTTCATATTACTCGAGGCGGTAATGAAACAGTGCTATGAAAGCTCCACGTGATGTTAAGGTTAACCTTAAGTTGTCTAAGATAAAACCACTTCACACCGAATGGCTTGTAAAAGTTAACACTGAAATGCAGGACCGGGGTAGTTTGATTAAAAAAAAGGTTTCCATAAATCACTGATGCTTTTCTTACTTACTGTATAAAAAATGGATTTAAAAATCATTTGCTGAAATTTTTTTAAAGTCAAAAAAATTCGGATTTTTGATGGTTTTGAATGCCTTCGAGCGTTCATATTAATGTCCGTCCAAATAAGGTCCGATAAGGTACTTACTCATACTCACTGCATATATTACGTGACACAATTGTAATAGCCCCTAGCCAGCTGCCAGTAGTAACAACTTGCTAACTGTACTGGTTATATTGTGATTTGTGTAACGTTATTATGTCACGTGTGACGTTATCGTGTCACGTGTGACATACCTTGTGACACTCTCCGTGACCCTTTAAGCGGTGGTTATAAAGCAATAGCATGATCGTTAGGCAGTTGAGATCGTCTATTTTGGATTTTGTTGCCCCTGATAAGCATAATTATGGGCCCATGGCCTCATATTATATAATAGCTCGTCCCTTGTTGATTGTGGTCTTTAGTCCCAATTGATTATCATCATTGCGTATATTAATCAGAAAGAATGGCCTCACATTTATGGCCATTGCCTTGAATGGCGGTATGAGCAGCTCGTCTGGTTTGTGTATTAATGTACTAAGAAGCCTGTATCACAGAGAACCTTAATACATTTACAAATAAACCAGACGGGCTCAGCAATTGTGTTCATTTGACAGGTTTTACTGTACAGATTGTATTGAAGTTGCTACGGCAATTACATTGAACCAGGTTGACAATAAAATTACCAGGTGCCCATAAGACATGTGGAAACATTAGACCTAAGGCCTGTAGACAGGGACTAGGATAACGCAAGATGGTGCAACATTTAACTCGTCTGTAAGACTGGGGCCGTACTTTTAATTGCAAGCTTCCACAACAGTACAATCGTATTTAAGCAGCTTCAGCCTAGGCCTGAAGCTTGAGAATAAGTTTACCTTTCGTGTCACTTGATGGGAACATAGTGATACCACTGTGCTGGGTTAACTAAAGATTTCCCGTAGATTAATATTATTGACCAACAATCTTTAGGGGCACATTGCTTAGTGTTGATTGCTCTTAGTCGTATAACAAATTACCATAAATTATAATATCACACTATTATTATTATAACATCAAAACATTAGCTCTACTAGCAAGCAAGCCATATTCAGGCTGCAGTGTTGCAAGTAAAGTCTACCTTAACTCTTATTTATAGCCCTCCTTTCTATTTAAAGTTTAGTTTCACTCTGATGGAGAGCACCTGTTCTCTACGGAGCCAAGTTCAGTTTAATCTGAAGCCTCTTGCTCCTTTCTTCTCAAAGGATATATGTTTACAAAGTTAATTTCGGTTGTAACCATGATACAGTTAATAATGAGGGCGGTAATTAGAATTACAAAGGAGTTAGAGCTCCAAAATAAGATCAAGTTTTGAGCCCTACAGATAGAATTAGTTTGCAAATTATCAATTGATATCAGGTTCCCGGCCCAGTTCTCTTATTTTCTCTCTTCAAAGGGAATTAATATGTCCTGATGCTTCAATGTTACTTCCACAGCTGCCACAATGTTCTTAATTCTTTGAATTAAAAAGTCGAGTTCTTGTACATTGGATACTTCTCGTCCTTTCTCTCATGAGATAGTATCTACTTAACATCTGCACATTCTAGACGGGGAAGCTTTCTTTATTTCTATTAACAGGTAATTGTTGATACTGTATATATAATGATATTCCAAACTCAACATTAGCCACTAATAGACCTGTTATAAGGTAGCTCTTCAAATATGAAATAGACATGAAGGATTAAACAAAAGATGGCTGAGGGCCAGCAAGACCGTTTTGTCTGAGAAACAAGGTTCACGTGGCTGCGCGTGGCACTGAACTCGCCAGAGAGCCAGAACATTTGCCTCAAAAGTACCTCATGCCCCTATTAGATGCATTACCCCAGACCTTAGTTCAAGTTCCTGTATCTCTATCCAGCACTCAGACTCATTCGTGCTTTGCACAAATTGTGTAATTTGTTCCCTCTTTTTTCTGCAAGGATGCGGGAACGTGGTCCTTGCATCCTTTTATTTTGTAACTTAGTGACGACACTTAAAATTTGCTATTACCATAATAAAACGGGGATAACATTTTGTTACGTTCATAGTATCTCAAATTTTGTCAGAGATATTAAGAGTACATACCTTAGATACAATTGTGTGCGTTTACTTGAAACTGATCTCAGCTCAATGCACTACTTCAGTATCACTATGTCACTTTTTTATCTCCTGTTTGCCAAAACAGGTGCTGGTCATCATAACGAGTAAGGACATGAAACTTGCACCACTTGTTGGCTGATAGTTGATACCTAGTCTATCATGTCTGAGTATTGTAATCAATTCTTTAGTCTGACATTTATGACAAATATCATATTATGTAATATTTTATGCGGGGATTTGACGAATTTTCTAACTCAACTAAATATGCTGCTGTCTTCTCTCTAAGTCTCTAATCTGATTTTAGTCTGCTCTTTAAAATTTCGGGCTGCGAAGTAGAAAAAGCTGCAAAATACCCTTTGAAATTTCTAGCGACCGCAAATAATGTCAGCAGAAGAATACATGATGCCTGGAGACGGTAGACAAGAGGTCCCTGTGCAGATTGAGAAGTTTGTCCAGCAACGAGGATTCCTCATTGCCTTTGCAGTCATTGATTTCGTTCTGGGAGTCGGGAGCGGATTTTTGAATGGTAAGAACCTTGAAAATATTTAATTTTGATGATGAGTCTCAGCAGCAAATCAGTAATCACCCGGTGATCTTGTACAATATCTTATGAACTCAAAGTTAACCATACATTTTTTCAACACAATATCTTGAGAAAATGATTTCCTAAGTAACAATTACACCTCTCCCAGGTGTCTCTGTACTGTACTACAAACAAAAGCTGGGACCCACAGACAACATCAACCACCTCCTCTACTTCACCCTCTCCCTCTTCGGTGTCCTGATCTCCTGTGGAGCCTTCCTCCACATCTTCGTCCTGATCTTCACGCTCTACTACGACCAGGACACCCTGAACATCCTACTTCCTACATCCTACATCCTCATGATAACCTCCACCTACACTTCAGCTCTGATAAATGTGAGCCTGGCTGTGGTGAGGACTATCAACATTGTGAACCCCCTCCAGAGGATCAACAGGAAGGCTGCTATCATCAGTATATCAGCGTACTGGCTGCTAACAGTGACCGTGGCTGTTGTGGATGTCGCGTTTTGGAAGAGCGGATCTAGCATTGGACCAGGGTATGAGTATTACTACACTTTCATAAACATGTCCAGTTGCTATGGTATCCTATCTCTTCTCCACACTAAAAACTTACTCCACCCGTTTATCGTAGCCAATCACAAAGCCCTCTTCCCTGTCCTTATATGGGTGATTCCCTGTGTTATCCCCTCTGTTTTCTGCCTCGTCTCCTCCTCAATACAGATCTTCTCTCTACGAAGAAGGAAACTCCTCCGACAAGAAGACCAGATCCACAGCAAGGTTACAATAACAATCCTTCTGCTAACAGTAACCTTCTTCATCTGCAACACCGTTAACTTCACCTACGTCTTCCTTATGTCGTACGGAGAGTGGAGTGGGTACAAGGTGTTCCTCACTCTGTACGTGGTTACCAGCATGGTTCCCTTCATCAACACCCTGGTGAACCCCATCATCCTCGTCTCCAGAGGGCATCTTCTCAGGAGGTTCTTTGTGGGGTTCCTGAAGAGGAGGAGGAGGCTGACGAGCGGGGAGGTGTTGTTGGAGATGGAGTGTGTCCAGGGGAGGGAGGACTTGAAGATTGAGCATCCTGTCACTAGACAGGAGACTGTTGAGAGCTTTACAAGGACATTCAGTAGATAGTATGCTAAGTATGACGATAAAATATGCTGATGAAAACATGCTAAATATTCAGGTGAAAATATGCATTCAGTTGAACTTTAACTTTATTTGTCAGTGCCATTTGTTGGAATTTGAACCCTTTTAAAGACTGAAGGCGAGAATTTTGCCACATTTTTCAGGTTGGGTCAAGACTTATTTTATACAAATTATTCTGATTGCCGATTTCAATTACAGCGGTAATCGCTAATATTTATGCTCAATTCGTGCATGAATGATTCTAACTATGTATCATTTATTTTTTATCTATTACCGTAAGTTGGACTTATTATTCATGGTCTGTGCGTCTCTCAGTTACATTTCATAAATTACAGAATCCCAGTTGCTTAATTATAATCTTTATTGAGATGGTTATTACAGCGGATCTTAGGGGTACTGCTAGGGCCGAGCCCGAAATTATAATTTAACGGTTGTTCTAAATATCAAAATAATAAACAGATAATCTCAGATTGAGTTTAAGACAATCAACTTATTTATTTGCCTGATCAAGTAAAAATAATTGAGTAATTAAATAATGATTAAGTAATTAAATAACTGACCAGCGATGGCGGCAGGACGTGCTTTCATCTCTTTAACTCTGTTAATGACGGGGTCACAGTAATCTTCTAACGTAGCCAACCTTGCGTTAAACACCTTCAAAAAGGTGAGTAATTAGTAATTAGTATCTAATTATCAATTAGCTTCGTGCCACTGCAATTGTGATATATCCTCTACCTACACTGTCGGAATTTTTTCTATTAATTACAGATTGAAATAATAACTAATTAAGTAATAGTTAATCTCTAAAATAGTATTTATAATTAATTATCTAATTACCACGAAAGTTTCACCCCAACTGTCCTCTTCCAGCCAGTCTGTCTCCTTACTCAGTGCCTCCTTCATCTTCTCCATTTCTTTAGGTGTGCTGGCTGCTATGTACACATCTACATTGGGAGACGTGGATTTTAGCAGTCGCAGTTATGAGTTACACATAAAGTGACATAATGAAAAGGAGCTGTAATTTTGTAGGACCTTTTCCGAAGAAGAAATAACGACTTAGTCACATCTCAGGTGACAAAGAAAATGTTGATATATCGTGTAAGATGTTCTAGTTAAAAAGAGCAGAAGTCTGAAATGGGCATATTTTCTTAGTGAAGTGGATTGTATCTAATAGATAGAAACTAACCGTCATCCTCTAACAAATCCTTCATGTTGATAACGAAAGATTCCAGGCTGTTCCTCGCCATTTCGGTGGCACGTTTATCATCATCTATCTTCTTCAAGGCTGCTAGTTTTTCTTTGCTAGGTTTTGTGTCAGCCAAAATGGGGATTCCTGGTAAAGATCAGGGTGTCAAACATCAGAGCAGTGACTTAAATAGGCAAGTGCCTATTTCCTTCACATATTCAAATAATATCTAGGTCATATTTGACAGAACAAAACACAATCTAGTTTCATTGGTTCATTTTATACATTCATATTATTTAACAATGAAATGTTATATACGTAAATGTATGTTCAAGTTCAGGATTGTTTACAACTTACCGAAATGAATAGAATCCAGTTTAAGGATTTCTTTAATAGTAACAGGCTTCTCCGGAACAGCTTCAGTTTCATTCTGATGAAAATTTTATTTCACTGACATGATTGAAATATATTTAATTACTAAAAATTACATTGTGAGAAGAGTATCTGTATAATCGCTGAATACCGTGTTTGGACCTTGCAATTGTTCTCTAACTAAACAAGCACCTTAGCATCTTTTTTGACCTCCTCTTTATTTTCTTCGGTTTTCTTCTCTTCCTCGGGTTTCTTCTCTTCCTCGGGTTTCTTGTCCCCATCGTCTTTCTTCTCATCTTCTTTCTTTTCTTCTCCAGCCTCACTTTCCTTCTTTTCACCTTCCTCGTCACTCTGGTTAAACAGGACGTTAAATTGGAAACTGTTGTGTATAAGATGAGAAAGTTAGTAAATTACAAGTTAAGTTCCGTTGCCGGTAACAAGACATAAAAGAGCAAAGCAAAAGTTAAACTGAAACAAAACCCCATAATAATTGCTTGGGGAAGAAAAAATGTACGGAATGTCGAGGACAACCTGTTTTTTAACATCTGTTAAGCAAAAACCTTACATATTTACATATATTTACAGCGTATATATATATATTTACAGCGCGGGGATACGAAAGGTACTGCATGTAATCATGCAACTACAAAATCAATAGTACAACATACGTTTCCACCGAAGAAATTAGAGACGCTATCCATCCACCCAGGCTCCGTTTTGTTAGCCACAATGGTCTCGAACAGTGCTTCTACTGAGTCAACCGAGATTAGGCCTGACTCGTCCACCTGCCAGTCAAAAAGGTTACTAACAGGTTACTAACAGGTTACGTACTGGTTACTAACAGGTTACTAACAGGTTACTAACAGGTTACTAACAGGTTACGAGGGATTATCTTAGAAAAAGCTGTTTCCAGGATTTCTTAGTCATTACGGTGCAGTGATCACCATTACCATGAACCATCTCGATAATTCAAATTGTTTCGTGGTCAGGATACAGAAAACAATTTTTAAGACATACCAAGATGTGAGCCTTGATTCCTTTAGCGGTTTTGTCGTGATGCTGGTTGAACACATCTTTAACTCCTTTAACGTTAACCATCATCAGTGGTAGAGAACCAAACTCACTGTAATTATATAATATAGTTGGTCAGATATAAGGTAAAACTAAAAGGGCTCAGAAATCTACAAATTACGACTTAGGAAAAACTCGTAGGACAAAACCTGGTGAGATTCCGCAAGAAAATCATGAAATTATACTTGTATTACTTAACTTTTTTGTAAGGCAAGAAATAATATAAAATAAAGACACGCGTACTTGGTCTGTTTCTCAGATAGGTAATCCAGGTTGCCGTAGCTGACGTTAAAGTGGAAGTCGTCAGAAAACTTGGTGTAAGTCATGGCTTTCTTCTGGGGGAGGCCGTTGTTACGGTAATACAGCTCCTTGTTAACCAGTTTAGTCTCTGTTACTTCGCCTGGGAGGTCATTTAGATTTATTTATTTATAAATTAAATTTATGCTATAAATATGTATATAGAGCATCTTTTTATGCTATACATCTTTTTATGCACTATCTTTTTATGATATACATAGCATGAATTTTTTGCTATATATAGCATAATTCATGCTATGTATAGCATACAAAGATGAAATAATGAAATGATCAGGGTTTGAGAGGAATTTGCGGCTGCAGTCCGCAATCGGTTATACCATAAAGTTTCAACCAGCAGAAGTAACCCCAGCAAAATGTTGTGTGTAGGGCTTAGGAACCGACCGGAAATCCGGCTGAATCCGGTTCCGGCCGGATATCCGGCTTCAAAATCCGGTTCCGGCTCCGGCTCCGGCTGGAAAAAAATTTGCCGGATTTTTGCCGGATTTCAGTTTTTTTACCGAAAAAAAAATCAAAAAAATATTTTCGGCTAATAATGAACAGGGTAGCCTGTCCCACTCTCTCCCCCCCCCCCTTTCAGCTTTGTCTTTGCCTGTATTGTCAATTACAGGGGTGTGCCCACCTTGATCCTGACTACTATTCGTTCTTGCTACTTACTGTCGGTGACTGTTGAGCGATGTTCTTGTTATAACAAAAAACTAGTTTGACGTGTTTCTGTTAATCTCGCTGGGTGTTGTTTCTTTAATTTGTTTACAGACGTACTCCTTGAATCGATGATTAATTTTGGTTTCATGCTGATTGCGGGTATGACTGAACGGGTTCATACTTTTTGCAACCGTTTTTTAACTGCAATCCGGCCAACGGCTGGTTACACTTTTACTCTGTACTATAATCCGGAATAAAATATCTGGTTTATTATCATTTGCACTTTATTATTATTGGTTTAGTAGGATTACATTATCAAGCCGTGGTAAATGTGTTACTCGTATTTTACATAAAATACGCTGCGGTTTTATAAATAACGCATTTTACTTTCCAGAATAAAATATCAGTGTGGACCTACTATTACGGACCTACTTTACTCAACATATCTTAAATCCAATCAGCAAACTCGATCTTTATGCGTGTAGCAGCATATTCCTGATTGGTAAGCTGTCTTTTATTTTTAACAACCGTGCTATGAAGGTTTGTGTGAAGTTCTTTGGTATATTTGTATTTCTAATCTTTCCGGAGGGAATTGGCTGATCTCGCCATTTGAAACTTGTTCCTTTGAATGGCACCAAATTATTTTCTTTCAGATACTGATCTGGCTGAATGTGCGAGCAAGGGGGAAGACACTAAGTACTACCGATAGGTTACAACCAGTATCATACGAAAAATGGAAGACTGATTTGAAATGAGGGAGACATGGAAACACTTTTCCTTTTTGTGTAGGCAATAAAAAAATACTATGGTCATCAGGAACAGATGGAAGAAGAATAACCGGGGGACTTTATATTGAGGTTCGAGACAAAATATTACTTTCCATAGGATTATACGGGTTGGAGTTAGTAGAAACATGAGACTTAAGCGATAGACTAAACTGATCAAAACATGTTCTACTTGTGTTAATACTAAGGTCACATAATTAAAGTTGTGCCACGGGGACTAAGAGTTCGAGAACATAAAAAGATTGACTTCGCATTAAAACTACTAGTTGCAATCTTCATTACTTAGATATAAAGATGACGCACAATAGTTTGACATGTCACATGTATTATTCTTGATTGGAAAGCGATTTTTCTAGAGTATCGGAAATTAGTGGCTGTACGATGAAAACAAGAAATCTGTTTGGAGCAGTGGCACAAGAGGTAATTTGACGAGATTAGAGCTTGTGGTACAGGACGACAAACAAGTCGTACTCTACAAATTCTTCCTCGGGACAGGGCCCGTTCTTGGTCATCCTATACAAAGAACAGATACTGTCAGAGATGATATCGGAAAAGTAAGTCTCATGTATTATCTAGAACAGTTCTTTTTTCTTTATAGATTAGTGAGGGAGTTTTTTGAAGTTCACTACATTCTTTAAAAACGTAAAATAAACCGTTAAAAATCAAAGGTATTCTTTTGGTTCTTGAGGTGAGAGGTTGTATATTTGCCCTTTTCAGAACAGCTACCAATTGATAGACGGACGTTGGGGGAGGAAAAGCCCGTAATTAGTGGTCAAAGAGGTCTCTTGATGTTTTCAAACCATGGACCTTCTGCGAAATTAACTTAATGATTTGAATAATGCAGCCCCATGCATTGCAGCTGATGGGTTTTAAAGGTGCTTTTTTCCTCGCCATTATGGTAAAATTTGGAAAATCTAGAGGTTTATGGTGTATTGCAAAACAGTTTAACTTGTTCAACTACTGACTGGTCATTTTCATGCTCACTTAAGAAGAGCACCATGAAATGAAAGCTTGTAGTGATCACACTAGAGAATTTGTTTTTTTTTGTTCGGGAATTACGGAAGCCCGTTCACTCTTGAAACTCTGTGGAATCACAATGTTTCCAGGACATCAACATTTCCTACTCCTTTTTAATGGAGGAACAGTTTGTGTGATCAGTTCAGTGATAATTCTGCTGCAGCTATTTGCCGGAATATGGGCTATCGGGTAGCAGAAAGGCTGGCGATTATCATGGCCTTTTGAAAAAGTTAGACTTTAATTTTTATCGGCTCTGGACGATGTGAATTGCAGTTATGGAGACTGGGAATTATTGTAACTACTCCACGTCTCATATGGTGGTCATTATAGGACGTCTACTTATCTGCAAAATCCATCCAAGTGGTATATATGGCCATATTGTAGCTTTCTTTACCTCAATCTTGCTAGGTATGTGGATGTATACGTATGCAAAAGGGGAAGAATTCGAAATTGATCGACTTGTAAAGGAAATAGCAGGACATACGTTACTCTTGTGAAAAAACTTGTACGTCGGCTAAGAAACAAAAAAGTAAAAATGGCGAAAAGAAAGTTCCAGATCGGGCGTTTCTTCAGTGAAACATGGGAAGAGGATAAAATAATATAGTTGTTTTCACTTTTTAATGTAATCCGGTAGAATAAGATTTTTTTAATGTTGCGGTGGTAATGAAATTGATTAACAGTTATAAATTTTAGTTATAAAATAAAAGGGAAAGTTTCTTCTTAAATTCTAATGAAAAGAATTTTGTATGTAACCATTTGATTTTAATTTATTGATCTCTCTTTACATACGGGTTTCAGAGTTTATTATTGCAAACTGTATTACTCTTGAAGGCAGTCAACTTTCTACCGTATTTAACAGGTTAGAAGTGTAAATAGGCTTAAACCTAGTTTAGAAAGCAAAATGAAATACTGCCAAAATTAAAATAGAACTGCGCCTAAAATGAAAATACCTTGTTGAAGGTTGCGAATCCCATCATCTTGATTATGCAGGGACGTCTTCCACTCAGCAGAGGCGGATCGATACTTCAGGCGGGGGAGGTTTTTTTTTTTTTTTTTTTTTTTTTTCCTCATTATTAAGAAACCCAGAGGGATTGTCAACAGCACTGCATCTGCAGTGATGGTATTTGTCGTGTTGGTTGCCCAGATGATGTTGACTGGGTTCACTTCCCTTGTCGCTACTTCAATCCACTGTCCGTGTATTGATGCCGACACACGCGTATTGTCGGCGATTGTTTAGGACCCTTGGGACATTGCGTCTGTAATTGTAGGACATCCTGAAAAATTAAGTCATTACATTATTAGGCCATACGAGATCGCTTAAATTAGTAAAATAGTATATACTATTAGGTTCCAGAAAGTAAATAAAAATATCGATGATTTTACCAGGAAATTAATACACAATATTATTACCCGGTCATGAACAACGAGGTGGTTTCCAGTAAACTCAAAATCGTTTCGTACTGGATCCATTGTTTTAAAGATAGTGCCGAGAGTAGGGGCCCGCATTTGTAAACTCCAGGGTTGGAACAATGCCAATCTATAACATGTTCTCTACGGGGGGGTCATGTAAATTCTCATTGGGGGACCTTCTGCTCCATTTTTGTCAAACTGACTCAAGGCTCTTGTTGTTCTTCATGAGGAGCGTCGTATTCAGCGAATGTTTTCCAACATGAACTTGTAGGCTTAGCTTTGACTTCAACTCGGCCCTTTTGGTAACGGTAACTTCTCCAAGTTGGTCTGAGAGTTCCTCGGGCTTCATTTTTAAATTCTGGAGAAGAAAAAAAGTATTTAATACTTTAAGGATAGCTAGATCATTTCGATTCTGATTGCAATGAAAAGCCAACAGTCTAGGTCTACTGAACTTGATAAGTGGATGATTAAAACCCTTTCATGAAATACATTCATGATCTGTTCGCTTACCCAAGTATTTGGAGTGAGAGTTTTGATTTTATCGTGGAAGAGGACTATGCTTGTGAAATATGGTTCAACTTCTCCTGAATCTCGCACCCTCTCACGCCACATGCTTCAGCTGCTTTTTCCTTCACCTGCCTAATCTGCAACTAATAATAATCTCCAGAGCTTGACAAGAGTTTACGGGATACCGGTGATGCTGTTCACATTTAATTGGGTGGACATGTATGTGGTAGCCTCTAACAGCCTGTTACACTCCTCGCAACAAGCTCATCACGCTCTTTGGGAACCATCGTCCTGTAAATTTCGTTACAGCGGAAAATCTAGTTTTATTGGCATCAATCTAGGTTCAGCTGTTTGGCGAGCACTGCCAGTGGGTTCCCTCCGAGGCCTGTTACCACCCATTGCGCCAAGATCTGCAAAGTAGTTTCGTCCTTTGAAGGTGCAAACTATGCCGCACAACGGATCGTGCTGCGATAAACATCCACGTAATTCCGAATTCTTGGAGTTGTCTTGCAGCTGTAAGACCTAAATAAATGTAATTAGTTGTCGTGCAGTGCAGTAAGTTAGCTTTTCTTAATTCGGAGGAGATGTAAAAAGTTTATTGCACCATCCCCTCACAGTCATCAACAAAATTGATACGCTGTATTACCTGATATAACCAGCAACGACAACAAGAACTTTAGGAGCGGTCGAGGGGGTTCTGGAGTTTGGGTGAGGCGTTCACTGCGAAGTTTATAACCCGTATCTGTTCAGTTACTCATAAACAGTTCTACCTACCCTCATCTCTGAAAAGACACATCAGTACTAAAAAACAGTGTTTAGATGTCAATGCTATGAACCGAAGTAATCAACTGATTTTCAATATGTAAGATTTTATATTCGCCATAATTGTCTTCATTAATAATAATTTATAGTTATTCAAATCCGGTGTGGGAGGCTCTATTATGGCAGAGCGTTTTCAAATCAGTGCGCTTGTTGTGGGTCTTTCCAACCAGACAAACAGCTGACAGAATATGTTCAGATAATGTGGGAGTGGGTACAGGGCGTTCAATGTGTAGAGGCTCTGTTGAATCAATTGAACGAAGCAAGGAAAAGGTCTTGTCGGATTGGATATGGGATTATGGATCGACAATAACGTCGGAAAGCTGAAAAGACAATATATATGGCAAACATAGCAAACTTACCAGTCTGTTTCTAATGTAATGAGAAAGTGAGCTTGGGAATCCATCACGTTGAAAATTTCAGAGAAACTAATGGCTTACTGTTTCGTCATTACGATCGGCAGGTATATCTGCTTGCAAATGCTGCTGACTCAGATATGAAAATGGTAGATTTGAAAATTGAGACGGTTATTACGAAAATTGGGGCCTTTGTAACATCGTCCCCCAAAACTCATGTTATCACAGTGACTCGGTGTCCATAATGACAAAAAGAGAAAATTGGTTTTGTTGAGTTGAGGGTCAAACAAAGTATCAATGATATGAGTCTTGAAGTGGTTATATCGATTATTTCCAATCATTCAGTATCCTTTAGGAGTCAAGAACTATTTTGTCGTCGAAATCGTCTTCAGGATCGTAATCTGGGTCTATCTCCTTTTCTTTTTGGAAGATAAGGCTGACAAATTCATGTGAGTGTTATTTTTTTTTAAAAAAACCACAAAGTTCAGGCCAGTAGCGGGTAGATTTATTAATGCATGCTATCCATGCCTCCACTATAACTTAATTGGTCACTGTCAAATATTTAACTTTGCATGAAAACGCGCCCCCCCCCCCCCCCCACCCCCCCCCCCCCACCCCCCCCCCCCCCCCCCCCCCCCCCACTTATTTCTAAGCAAAGTTGTAAGCTTCGGTGTTTCTCACAGGTATTGCGCCGCGCAGTGTTACGTACGGGTAATATTTAGCCAAGAGTCTTGCTAAGTAGACAATCAACAATTATTAGCTTACCTGGACTTCTTTTTCTTCTGTCGTTTTTCGCGTGGCTGATGGTGATAATTGTCACAGCTGAAACAAATTTATGAGTATATTCAATCTTTCAAAATAGTTTCCTGGCTGTGTCTCATGAATCGAGAATACAGGTAGGCCAAAACTGGGTTTTTAGCGAAGGTAAATTAATTGGTTTTCTGGATATTGCTGGGTTGTTTTCCAGCTGATTCTTCCCATCTCCATCTTTATTCTCTGTACTCTTCAAAGTGGCTGTGCAGTGCGGAGCCATCATCTGTTCTGTTCGATTCATCTTCTTAGTGGAAAGTACATAGGACTCGTCCTTCCGTTTAGTGCATCTTCTCGAGCTCTGTAGATCCTGAATTCACGGAATTTTAAAACTGCTTTTGTATGTGAAAAAGGGCAAAGAACCAAGAGGAAGGTGACGGTGTTGTGAGTTGGTAATCCTAGCGGGGAATTTTCTAATATTTAGACAAATATAATCATAATATGCGCAGTGAAAAGGGATATTGTGCCATACGTTAGCAAATTTCTAGGACTTCTTCAATATGGTGTGAAAACTTCTGAGAGCAAATAAAACACTAAGATGGTACTAGACGGGTGGAGTGAGGGGCTGGTGCGTCAGAGAAGTAATAATGTCGTCGGAATGGTGTCTTTGATTTTCTCTTCGCGGTTGTTATCATATTGTGTAATATAAGGGTTCTGTGTTCTTGTTATTTTATTACTTCTAGAGGTTTCACTGTAGCATCCCCTCCGGAGATTAGATATGAAACTGTCTAGTGTATCCCTACCGCGTCGGTAGCAACTCAAAGTAAAATTTGTGATTGAAATGGTGAAAAGAAATGAATGAAAATGAACATTGTTGGTAGCTTGAATTTAGCGGTTTCTCAAAAAATCTAAACTAACTCACCATTTGCATTTTCTTGGGTTTATCAAAACAACCATCGGCCAACATTATAACAAGTACGCTGATATCGTGAGAATAAGAAAATGTTCGGTATAAACTTGGCCCCCAGACTGTGAGTAAATATGTTGCTGCGGGGGGTATAGATTGTGGGTGGTAGTTGTGAGTGAAGAAGTGGAGGGCGGAGTGAGTTGCTGAGGTAATGGCTGACCCGGATAAAACCACTGTCAGCACGAAACCCGGGGTTTGGTACCAGTGCTGGTTTGCATGTGGTTAGAGCCCGGCCGTGGTGTTAGTAGTGGGTAGGTGTTTGTAGTGGAGGGGTGGATCTTGTGAGGAGGGCTTGTTGTTTTAGCACCTGGTGTGGTGTTGGTGGGTTGTGGTTGGTGTTGACTTTTGTTGTGTTGTTGACTGGAGTAATTATGCGGGAAATAATCTTACTATAAAATATATGTACAAACTAATGTATATACTACGGTATATGAATGCAAATATGTTGATTAATTAATATACAATAGAGAACTTACCAGTAACAAGTTAACATTTGATACATCTTGTAATACGTAGTGACACTTGACATGTCATATGTGCACAAACTATTCTAATCAAAAACACCCCCTACCTCAACAGTTTCTCCTCACTGATTTCTTCTTCTATAATCTCAGCGAACACCTGTGGTCTAGGATGGGGAGGCACTTGTCTGTGGGTCTCCGGCATCTCGTTTTCTATATCCGTTCGTCTGTTGGTTCTGCCTCCACCGTGGCCTGCTCCTCCTCTTCTCCGCCTCCTCCCCTTGGCTCCTACCAGCGTTCTTTCCTGTTCACGATCACTACGGCTTTGTACCCCCCGTTGCCGTTTATTGAGACGGCGATTGTAGTCAGGTTTGAAGCCCTGTGGATATTATTTTAGTTAGATTTTTGTACGAAAGATGTTTATCTCTTTTATGGCCAAAGAGTTCGGTATGTCGCAGTTTAAATGTTTGACTATTACGAAATTGGATGATCAATAGAATCCACTTTTGCTTTATGAAGTCTATAACAAACATAAAAACTCAACACCAATGAATTCAAAACAACTATTAATTTACCTATTCTGGAAGATACGCACTCCTCAAACTTCCATCAGGCTTTGGTTCGGCAGGATACCATGTTCACCATCTCCCTACCCTCCTAGCATCTTCAACTGAAACCATCTCACTACTAGCTGTCAGCTCTGTCATATCACATCAGACGCAGGCTTATCAGAACCTTCGTCTGAGCTGGTCTTGTCTAAAGTCTCGTAAGTTCTGAGGGACTCCGCTGGTTCTGTTGCTTCGTGGACTGCTTCAGGAACATCTACATTGCTGTCTCGATGGTATGTCCGGTCTCTGCAACTTTCAGCTAGATCTCAGGTTCTTCGGTACATTATTATAGCTTCTGTGACAATTGTTCTTTGGTCTTTCTCAGGTTCGCTGGTTCATTCAGCCTCGGAGGGAGAAACGTCTTGATCAGTCGCTGCTGCTTCCTCTACATCTCCCTTTTCTTAGTCATTTAAGGTTTGTTCATCGGCAATCTCAGCGTCTTCTGGGTACCAGCATTTTTATAACTGTTGAGCTAAGACTGAAGACCACCGTGATTCAAACTATATCCATTTATAAAACACGTAATCACAGTAAATAAAAAGGATTAAAAGTTATTTAAAAAACTGATCTCTCAATATCCGACAGACCCTTACTAAGTAACAATTTCTAACATTAAACAAGCTCTGTCTCGATCTGCTTCTCAAGTTCATTAACATTCTTCTGTTCCTCGCACTGCTTCCTGTTGTAGCACTGTAGGTCGAGTCTGAGTGCCGTCTCGTGTATCTTGCAGTGGTTTTTATGGTCACGTGTCATACGATAGTAGCCTCCCTCGCCCCAGTCTTTGCCCCAACTGTTCCTGATCAGCCAGTACTTCTTACCTCCCTCCTCTCCGTATCCGACTAGGTTAACAGCGTGGTTAGGATATGCGGTGGCCCTACACAAGTAGCGGTCGTAATAAATCCCTGATTTGTAAGCTAGAAGGGACCGTCCGCCCTTGACTCCCACACTGACTACCCCCTCGACCACTGCTTGCAGCAAAGCTGATTCAGTTTTAGGGACGCGATACAATCGTTTCAGGCCTACATTTGTATAACTGTTCAAAGTCGTGTTTTTTTTACATTCACCGTCTTTAGCCACATATTTGTAGTCCTCACGTGACGCTAGACGTTTCTGCCTGGTCACCCAGAGGAACCCCGTGTTGATGGAAGCCCCCTTACAGCCATTACCCCATCTTTTTTCTTCGAACACGCAGTCCACTAGTTCTTGGTAGCTGAACTTCTTCCTCAGTCCTGTTGCTCTGTAGTACGCTGACTCGACGGAAGAGATCGCACTGAAGGCCCAACAGCTGCCACACTTTCTCTGATGTTCAGGCTCTGACAGGGTGTAACTCCAGTCAATACTCTCCGGTAATTCCACTGCATCTCTTTTCTCGACAGCTTCGTCTTGTGGCTCAAATTCAAAGTCCGTGTCGTTCTCAAACATTTCGTCGTCAAAGCTTGCACTCATGTTCATCCCAAAGTGGGTATTCAAGTCACTCTCTGACTCTATGCTAAACTTGTTGATTTCTGCAGTGAAGGAGAACGTATCGTCGTGATTTATCTCGTTTACAAGTTCAGAGTACTTCTTGAAGTTCTTGTAGCTAGATCGACGAGCAGCTTTGTCAGGACCAATAGTTGTATCGGGCAGATTCATTCTCTGGAACTGTGGAACCTGTGGTCGGTTTGGTAGTTAGAGTAACAAGCGTCCAAGCAGTTTCAAATGTGCGGTTATCATAACAACAAATCTGATGTAAGGCATAAGCATACTAAATTATGGCATCAAAAAGTCGTGATCTATAATATAAATTCAAAGACTCAAAATTCATTGCCAAGACTGTACTTGTAGAAATTAAAGTAGGTATATATAAGTTACGGGTAAATGCCTCACAGAATGGCTAGCCTCACAGAATGGCCAAATTTGTAAATGTTTTTGTAACTAATTTTTTATAAAAGACTGGTAGGTTTTGTGGATACCATATGAAACAAAAGTCTTCTGGCAACACTTCCTGTGGTGAAATCATTAACAATAACTAGGACCACATTTTCTGGCATAAATATGACTGTTTATGTAGAAATTTTGAGCACTGAAAAATTTGTTTTCAAATTTTTGAATTAAGTTTACATTTTGGTGAGAACTTCTGGCACCAGTATGACAGAAGATGTTCAAAGAATAGTATTCATCAAAAAAAACGAACATTGTTCAATATAGGAAGAAAAAAATGCTAAAATGGCTACACGCCTCACAAAATGGCCAAAATATGCCTCACAAAATTTGTTTTCAAATTTTTGAACTAAGTTTGCATTTTGGTGAGAACTTCTGGCACCAGTATGACAGAAGATGTTTAAAGAATAGTATTCATCAAACAAAACGAACATTGTTCAATTTAGGAAGAAACAAAATGTTAAAATGGCTAAACGCCTCACAAAATGGCCAAAATATGCCTCACAAAATGGCCAAAATTTAAAACTCCTTTTATTCAATGAAACCATAAGTCTAAAGTATTCACAAGCTATTTATTATACAATAACACCCCAGATGGAGTGTTTTTACAGCCGAATGAAGGTTATAAATCATGAAATCAGGGAATATGAACAACGCCACACAAAATGGCCATTTTTGGTGTAGGAAATTATGCCCTTTTTATTCAGTTCTAAGAAATTTCACCTATATGGGGGTGTTAACAAGGCATATTAATACCAGCAGCATGCCTGAAACAAGAGCCAAAGGTTTTAGAAAAATAAAATTTTCTCGTTATCTTTTTTTTTTTGCCATTTTGTCAGGCATTTTTTCTTTTTTGTGAAATAATTTTTCACAGCTCAGTTTTTTTCGTGAGTTTTAGGTTATTACCCCATTCCTTAATAGGTTTTCTAAGAACGTGTGGTGATAGAAATTTAAAAAGTATCTCCATCAACAAAATTATAGAAATTCAGATTTGGCCATTCTGTGAGGCATGTTTTTTTCGAGGAAGATTTTCCGGCCAATTTTTCTCAAAGAAAAAATGGTTATGAGATTAAATGAACCCCCGGGAAGAAAAATATGAGTGTCAACTTAGCTTCTTATGAGATAAAAACTGGAATAAAGTGTGTTTTGTGACTTTGAGAGACCTTCCTTTTTTTTGGCCATTCTGTGAGGCAAATACCCGTACGAAGTATTTCATATTTACTTACATTTTGAGGGGCTGTGTTGAACTTTTTTAAAGCCTCTCGATACTCCTTTGCAATCTTTCTGTTACTCAGCTTAAATTTAGAAACAGCGACATTGCACAACATCAAGAACACAAGAATAGAAAGACTCCGCATTGTTAAAAAGAAACGAAGGAAGACTTGAAAGAACTGACGTTGATCAAGCTGAACGCAGTATTTATGTCATAGAGGAGCTTGTTAATTAATAATAGCCTGGTCCTGAGAGTCCTCTGAAACAATACAATCAGCCGATGATAATGGACCCTGTTAAAGTGGTAAAGTAGTGATAATAGGATGGCATGACATCTGAGCCTATTTTAATTTAGCACGAATCCCGATCGTTTAACTAGTTTGAACTTTGATGTAGTCAATTTATATTGATACTTCTTAGTTCTTACCGCATCATAAAATATTAATGACAAACAAATGAATAGTCATTAGTCATAGCGTAAGTATAAATTTAAGCTAGTCAATGTCATGATCTGTGATCAATCATAAAGCATGAAAACGCAAATAAATGATATGTGCTTGCTCGCGCACGAGCAATTTTTAAAATTATAAATGTTGCCATTGCTAAGGCACGAGCAATTTAAAAAATTATCAATGTTGCTATTGCTTAGCCGGAGCGACGACGCAGTAAAAATTTGCTGAATTTATGCGATTTTATTCTAAATCTAACACCTATTTTTTGATTTTCTCGTTCGCGTTTCAAACGTGCAACGTAGCTTCCGTTGATAACAAAAAGGAAAGGGATTGCCCAAAAGTAGCCGCTCACATGACACATGCAACCCTTTAATTACTGGGCGGCGCTCAGCCTGTCATTCCGCTAAATCTCTATTCTGTTAATTATATTATGAACATAATAGCCGGTGTCCACAGTATATCCTTTAATAACTTACGTAATTTGTATCAGAATTGCACAAACATTGTTATTACTATTAGGCGCGGTGGCCGGCGCTCAGCATGTCAGTGCACAGTGCCATTCCGCCATTGGCCATATTTGTATTTATGAAAAAAAATTAAAAAATTCCGACATAATAGACAAGTAGACAATAGATACGAGTTAAACTGTAAACGTATTTCCAGAAAGTTTTGTAAAATTTCATCCATTAAATTTTACAAATGCAATTTAGTGGCCAGTGGCACTCCACATAGGGGGACTATACCTTACAAGACATTTTTATAACGTACGAAATGCGACGGTTTTCCCTAAATTTCGCCATATTTTCGGACCGCCAAAATTTCGGTCGTCGTAATAGAATCCGTCGCATTATTTTTAGCTTATTCCAATAATTGTGGCTTCATCGATTCATTTTGTTCTTGAAAAGTTAGTGATATGATGGTGGGACAAATAAACACAATATTCCATGATGAATTTAATGTCAAGTTATACGTTTTAAATTTACAATAATTTACATTTATGTGCTAACATAAACGTCTTATAGACTAAGTCAAGATAAACAATTTAATACTAAACTCAATAAGTGAAACTGAAAGATTCGAGCCGGACCCCTTAGAGGAAGATGAAAAAATCGATTTATAAGTTTCATTTTGTTTCAACATGATTTTACCGATTTTTAGAAAATTTTGAATTTCCTTTGTGTCAGAAAACAAAATGATGAAAAATACCCTTATTTTCTGTGACGTCCGAAATGTGACGGTTTTTGTTCAATTTCGCCATATTTTCGGACCGCCAAAATTTCGGTCGTCGCACATTGGTCCGCCACAAAAATGTCTCGTAAGGTAGTGCAAAGAAACTGGGGCACTATATAATATATATAATAGTCCCCCTGTGTCCACACCCTGTCGTCATAAAATAAGAATTTTTTAAAAAGAGGCTGGACCTGGTGGTCCACGAGACGGTAGCATGAAGATGCTCTGCCTGCCTCTGGGGCTACTATACCGGACAACTTCGCCTAATTTGTACTACTACTACTACTTTTCCTAAACTTAGCCGGCCGGCCGGTAGCTTGGAAAATTGATTATAAACTAACCCAATTTTGACACCAGTTTGGGGTCCAAATTTTGGGCACTAAAATTCTTATTCCTTGACCAATTTTATATTTTTCTATACTGATTTGAAGACCATTTAAGCATTTGAACCAGCCAAAAAAGTTAAGGTTGTATTTGAATATCTTTTTTGTATATCGGTTTTTGTGGAAAGTCGTGCTAAAGTTGATGCCGTGGTGTCAGTATGACAGTAAACAGTAAAATGGTACGGATATCTAAACATGTATATATCGTCTCGCTTTATATATACTTATAGTATTAGTAAGATATGGTGTATTTTACTCCGTATTTATTATTATTTTTTAGACAATTATAGTTCTTTGTGTAATTTAGATGAACCATTGATTTTAGAAATTTTAGAAAATAAAATTTGTGTGGCTGATGATACGTCATATTCATAAATTCATAATAATAATATTACAACTTAAAAGTTTGTTTTATTTTGCCAACGTTCAGTAAAATTGCATTTTAGGTGGGCGGAATTTTCCCGATTTCTATGTCTTTTTTTGGCACAAGACACAATTGAGGTATTCAACGTTCTATTCCTAAAGAAAGGTTTGATAAACGGACAATTATCAAAATAGAAAAAGAGATCTTTGAATATGTTTTAAGAAGTGGAAGGTCAGTCATACTGCAATGTTATCCATCGCCACTGAATACAGCAGAATTTCTACCGGCGTCAAATGATATGGCTGTGGGAAATATTTGTTTTTTTTTAATGAGGTTTACTAATATCTAAATAACGATTACCTCTTGTTGTTGTTGTAAAATCGTTCGAGATTTGTTCATAATCACAGTGGTGGCAGGAACGTTTCACCACTGCACACGAGCTCGTAACTGTAGTAACTTAGTAACGAAATAGGAATCATAGATCAGTTTACAACTACAAGTTAATAGAATATGATTTAATTTTAAATTCAAAACACTTTATTATGATTTGAAATTCAAATAACAAACGTCGTGTCTGACCAATGCATGAGGAACTATTGAGTTGTGTTAGAACCTGTATTTAAGGGGACTATACTCGATTACTCCACATATCTCCAGCGTACATCTGGAATAGAATCATCATGATATTATAATTAAATCATCATGATATTATAATTAAATCATCATGATATTATAATTAAATCATCATGATATTATAATTAAATCATCATGATATTATAATTCTATGCTTACAAACTGACAACGGCTAGTTTTAAGTTTATATTAAAATATAAGGTCATATAAATGAATTGAAATGAGATGAACACAAAGCTGGCTTGACCACGGAGGGTGAAATTTCTATCATTTTCCAGCATCATCTACATTTTATCAAGTTTAAACACGGTTTGTTTTGTTGTTGTGGAGTAATTTGGATCACTGAGAGTTTCAGTGATGGTTTTGTGACGAGTTTGATTTAATTTATGTGCAGACTAAGCGAATTTTCTTTGCCAATTATGGCACCCCTCGACTCGGTTCTGATTTAATAAACTTCACAACTAATGCTAATGAAATATTAGTCGAAAGGTTTAAGTTTTGGTTTAGCACTGCAGAACTGGAGGTCATGGTGGTGTTAGATCATTGATAATTAACAGTGTTAATTTAAAACGGCTAATACTAATTTACGATCATTTCGAACAAATTCATTTTAGGTTTTTGTTAGATTTTAATTTACAAAGTTTGCTACCAGTCTTTATTATTTTAAGACACGGCATTGATCTACAAACCAGCTTCCAGTCAAAGCTTCTTCGAATATCTTTTTCATATCCATTTCTTAACGAATTTTTCTTATGTGTATGCCGATGCGTTTATCTATTTGTGGCTTTTCATTTCAACATTATCTAACTAAACGAAGAGGAATGTAATTCACTTTGACAGGATTTGTTATGATTATGAAGATCTCAGTGTGTATAATCATCTGCTTGGCTCTAGCAGCAGACATTGTAGCTGATTCGCTTGATACGGTAGGTTAACACTTAACATTCTAAGATCATATAGCATAAAACAACGAACCTCAAATAAATTATTCAAATAGTCTGCGAGAGGCTTCACCAACCTTACTTTGATCACAATTAAATGAATTGAGATTTGGAAGTAATAACTGTCACAATAACCCGATTCTAAGACCGCTATTTTTACAGGAATTGAATTCCAAAGAGATAGCAACAGAAGATTTGAAAGATCTTCTATTCACTTCAATGCAGAGCATCATCTCTCTGAATGACCTGGTGACTGGACTTTCAAAGCAGATGGCTGAACTGACCATATTATCCGCACAAACCACAGCGAAGATGGAGATATCCACCACAGAGACGAGCATCGCCACAGCATCTCTGTCCAGAGAGTTGGAAAACTTGAAGAAGAAGATCTCCACGATAAACGACAACTTTACAGATCTAGAAAGCAGGAAGAAGGACAAAGGCCCGTGGAAGTGTTACCACTATACAGAATCTGACAGAGAATGGAGAGCGAATCATGAAGCGACACATGCAGAGATGTGTGAGCGAGTGACAGGAGGAAAATTCACCAGAGGAAAGAACGATCTGGTTCCTGATTGTGGGACATGTTGGTGCTGTCAGGATCAGTCAGCTTTGATCCCGGTGGATGGAGGCTGGGGATTTTGGAGTGACTGGGGCGAGTGTTCTGCAGAGTGTGATGGAGGAGTACAGACCCGGGAGAGAAGCTGTACAGACCCAGCACCAGCACGCGGGGGAGTAGAGTGCCGTGGAGAGGGAGAGGAATCCAGGGAGTGCAATTCAGAACAATGTCCTGAATCTCCTGATTACACCATGTACATCCACTGTGATGACGTGCTGACTATCTTCGTGGACGGTGCTGAAAGACGACCGGCTGGGTTGAGCAATTCGGGCACAATGTCGACCTTGAACATTCCAGCTTCTAGCGAGCTCATTGCTGTCAAATGCTTGGAAAATGGAGGAGGATATGGAATCATAGGTTCGGTTCAAGATGCTGAAGGAGGTGATATCCTGGTGACGGACAGCTCCTGGAAATGTTCTAATACCTGGGAAAGTGGATGGAGTCTTCCTGGTTTTAAAGAAGGTAACACCTGGAGAGCAGCCACAGATCTTGGTGATGGTCATTTCATGATTGCGGACCATGGTGAGGATATACCCTCATCCAACATGAACAAGAGAGTTATTTGGACTGCTAGCAGCTCAGATACTACTGTTTATTGTCGTAAGACTATTAAATAGACTCACTACATCGCAACACAGCTAAATAGCCTACAGTATAAATGACAAACAAACAACGCAACTCAATTGTAGCATAACACCATTCGATGAAAAGTAAAGCTGGAGTTGTCGAATGAACATTGGCATCGTAAAATTCAATCAAAATGAACAATTTTCTAAATATGGTGTATTCATTGGTATTTTTATAAAAATTTAAAGTTCATTGTGTGATTTAGATGAACGATTGGTTTTTGAAATCTTAGAAATTTTATGAATTAAAATGGATGTGGCTTGTGAGTGGTGAAACTGAAACGTCATGACGCGATACATTTATAAATTCTTAATCAGTAGTCAATGACTAGACAGGGTTATTGAAAATTACAAAGAATAAAATGGCGTCTGGACTTGGGACCAGCTCATAGTACATTTCATTGATGCCCTCTGAAAACCATTCTGCTAGCTCAAATTATTTGTTATATAGTAGTGTTGAAAGTATTAAAACTTAATATAACAACTTAAATGTTTTTTTGCCAACGTTCAATTGGTTGCTGAGAGGTTCAGGTGTTGGTTGGCAGCTTTCCGCTTCAATTCTGCTCTGAACTCTGCTTTCTCAGCTACCAAGTTGTCAGGGTAAACGGTCGTGGGAATGAGGTTTGGGTCCGCTGGTCAAGGACTGATCTCCACGAACATTTCTTCGTTCCGTATATCTCCAGGTACAAGTAGTTGGGGTATCTCGATCTTTTCTCCGGGAGTATGACGATAAACTTGCTACAGAGCAAAAGAAACTAAATATTCTCCCTGTTAACTGAAAAATTATTAGTCTCCAATTTGGCTAAGATTTAAATCAGCTGTGACAAACTGGTAAAGAATCGTATCGCCGAAAGAACCAATTCTCTAGCCGACGTGTAACGCGTGTTATTGCAATAATAAGCTGTGGCCTTGTGACGTCATAAACTCCCTCATCCTTGGAGAGAGTTATTCCCGTATGGTACCTTAACCCCTCACTAGTCACTATTAGTCGCTTGGCTGTGGCGGAGTCGAACAAGTGACTAGGTGAGCGGGCGGGCCGCAGCACTCTTGTTGTCGGATTCTATCTACAGAAACAACTATCTGTTTGGTCTACTGAGAAACCTATTTTGGTAGATCCATTGGCACTCAACAACTATGATGACATAGTATCTTGCTGTCCTGCATCGTCAAAGTTTTTTATAGTATTAACATATATAAAACTAATGGCCTAGTATAAGAGGTCCCCTTAACATGGCCTTGAACCACCTGAGGTTAAACCCCAGTTCTATATGAATTGATCTTCTGAGCAAGAGACTCTGAACAAGTAAAAGAGACTCTGAACAAGTAAAAAAAGTAAGGGAGCTCGAGACGGTCTCGAAACAGAAAAAGAGGTTGACAAGTACAGTAAAACTCTTGTCATACGTTGTATGACCCGCCGCGCACGAAGTGCGCGGCTCCCCCTGTATCGTCAGGACCTAGTGAAACGACCGTGGGTGTCACAACGTGATACAATAAAACTCGACCAAGGGTAAGCTACGAAAATGGTAGAAGGATGATAAGTAGCAATAACATAACTTTATATCGAAAAGCTCTCCCTGGCTGTACTATTTTTATAGCTAAGGCCGGACGATAAGCCGTGACAGCCTGACTTAGTACGTAAGGTCGTCCAATTAATATTATGCATCTCCCCGCTCGGAGCTTAAGGTTTATCATTTATGTTTGTAAAAAGTAAAGAAGCGGTGCTTACCATATATCATGCAACTATTAACTTCAATCACCAGCCCCATTTCATGTCATGTTACCTGTTACCATGACAACCGAGGAAGTTAACTTACAACTCACTATGCACTACTCAGCCTAGTTAAGTTGTAAGTACGGTGTTTACGATTTATATAAAGAATTAGAAGTGATTTTGAGTTTAGAAGGATTCCAGTCTTGTTTAAGATAGTATTGCCTGGGGACCTCAGGCTATTATGTCTCCGAATAGAGATTCGGCGGAATGACAGGCTGAGCGCGGCCCAGTAAAGAAAGTATGGCTTAAACTTAAAGTATTACTTCTCCACATTGTTAAAGAATCGTTGATTCTCCCTCCGGGCGGAGGGTTAACTTTCGCTATGCATGGTATCGTTCTTACGATATACAACGTATGACAAGGGTGATTCGCGTTCGCAGAATCAGCGTTTACAATATTTTGATTCAATTGATTTTAGCAGTGATCGCGCGGGGCCGGCCTGGAAGATTTCGAAAGTGTAAAGTGATTTTGTCCATTGTTAATAGACTATAGCCCGACAAGCGCTACTTTGTAGCACTTGCCTAGTCGATCGGGAATTGAAGAAAGCGGCGCGCGCTAAGCTTCGAAAAATATTAAACGAGTAACATCCGTCAAAAAGTAATTTAACACGCCCGGCTAGTGGCGCGTTCGTCAAATAAAGCTTAAAGTGTTTTAAAAATTAATGTATGCTAATCAACCAGTCGCTACTAGCTCTTATATGTATACTTAATTTGAAATTAATATTAAACATTGCATTAAAGCCCGTACGGCCTACGCATTCACCTAACCATGTGCTTTCGCGCCATTGCGGGCGCGCTTGTTTCACAAGTCAAGGCGTGAGGCGGGCGCGAGCTACTGCAAACGCAAGGGCTCTGGATAGAGCAAGCCTACGCGCGTCTTCAATCAGGTAAATGACTATTAACGCGCAAATGATACTCGTCTAAATTTTTTAGAATGGCCGGCCACACTGGGCGCGTTGCTTTATCCAGAGTGCTTGCGCGTGCAGTGGCGCGCGCCCGCCCGCAGTGGCGCGAGAGCACATGGTTAGGTCAACTGGGCGCGCGCTACTGCAACATGCAAAAGCCATGCGAGGGCTCAGCTCTGATTAGAGAAAATTAACAATAAACAATTAAATGACCCAAAAGAGGAATTTTGTTAATGGTTAAGTTAAGTGCTTGCGATAAAAGATTTCGTAATGCGCGGCGCGCGGCCCAAAATGCAGAAGTAAATCGTGCAGCGCGCGGCTCTTCAAAATTCAAGTTTAAATTTGTTCCGTAAGCTTTTTACCTTGCACCTGGCGCGCCATGGATTGACATCGGTGTACGTACGGCGTATTTACTTTATTTAGATATCATGCATAAGTGAGATAGTAAGAAAGTTAGTAAAAAAGCGAATCATAGTTCAGCAAGCTGGGTAAATTTTGTTTAATAATGTAATAACCTCCAAAAAAACATCTGGAACAAATTTTGTATGAATCTAACCTGGTAAATGAAATATGAGCTTTGTCACACACCAAAAGCTTGACGGATGAGTCAATTAGCATGATGGACAACCTAAATGGAATTGAAGCAAAGTACATTTGTGATATTCTTTTTATTCAGACTCAGTTACATATTTTAGAAAGCGCTTGCGCTTTGAGGTATTAAAGACAGCAGTTATTTCGATAAGAGGGGGACAGAGGGCCCAAGTTGCGAATTGCGATATAAACCAGACAATAGTGAAGATTTAGATTTAAATATTGAGCCCTTTGGCTAGAGAATACTTTTTTAGATATTTTGGGCAGTTTTTAATATTGGTAAAAAAAAGTGATAATTATTTTTTTTTATTGAGTTCACAATAGTTATAATTCTGAAATAATTTAAGTTACACACTTCTAATAATTTACAAATGTGTAGGGATAAAATAGAAATGTTATAATATAATGCTATTTTCTTTAAGTAAATCAAATTTGTATGGTTCATGAGTTTATTTTGAGTTCCTAGAGCATTATGCACTTGCCAGTATTTGAGTGGAAATCTGGGCTCTTATAATAGGCTGTATATTGTTCGTTCACAGAGAGAATTGAATGGATTGCTCTTGCTGTGGCAGTAAATTTGGTAGGATCTAGATTTTTGTTGGAGAGCAGACCGGCTAGGTCAGTGATGTTTTGGGGATAAAAGTTGAATTTTTCCCTAACTGAGGAGTAAAGCAAACAGTCAATTAATACATGGCTTTCGTCCTCGATAGGTTTGAGCCCTTTACTGAAAAAGCAGTAAGTGCACCAACGTTCTTCTCTTGGTACAAGAGGGGTTTCGTATCTGCCCCTTTCAACGCAGAGGTTGTGGCAGCTGATACGAAACCTTGTCAAGCTTTTTCGAAAATCAGGTACTTTGATTATTCGTAGGTATGCCTCTGGTTCAAAATCATGTTTAATTAAGTTATAGAATTCTAGTTTTGGTGAGGAGGCCTTGGCAGATTTCCAGGTATTCACGAATTCTTCCCTCATATTATGACTGATTTGGGTGGAGAGCTTAGATTTTGATGAAGATGAGTGGGGGAAGTTGTATTTGGTGAGAAGCTTTGAGATGTTGGTATACCAAGGAAGGCCCAGCATTATCTGCTCGTGAAATGCAGCACAAAGTAGTTCATTTTCGGTGCTTTCAAGGCGACTATAGTAATCTATTGCAAGTTTGCAGGCTTCAAAGAATAGGGGGTGGCGCCCACTTTCGCCCCAGCAACCTATATTTGATGCTTTTGAATGGACGGACAAAGACCACTTGATAAATTTTAGGTGGAATTTCTCATAGTGGTCCTGTGCAATGTACTTCAGGGTATGCTGGGGGCTGGCTTTGTCATCTATTTTTGAAAGGTATCTCATTGTTTTAGAGTGGGGGCATAAGACTTGACAGCCATAAAGCAGGATTGGTTTGATTAAGGAATCAAATAGATTATTAAGGGCACGGTGAGAGAGGGCATCTTTAACTATATTGCCTTTAAGGCCATATAGAGCACGGAGAGCTTTGGCCCTCAGCTCAGTATTTGCTGCCGTAAAGGATCCATTTCTGTGGAATATTATGCCAAGATAGCAGTACTTTTTGGTGTGCTGGGGGGGTGCCACTGTCCATTTTGTCCCTGCACAAAAAAAACTGAAAAAAGACAAAGACAAAAGGGACAAAATGGACAAAAGGGACAAAATGGACAAAAAAAGATAAAAGGGACAAAAAAGACAAAAAAGACAAAAAAGGCGGGGACAAAATGGACAAAATGGACAAAAAGGACAAATACAAACGAGTTGACGGATGTTACTCGTCTAAATTTCTTCGAAGTAGCGCGCGCCGATTTCTTCTCGAAACGGCAAGTGCTACGAAGTAGCGCGCGCCGGGCCAGACCATTAACAATGGTCAACAAACGAGACAAATTGACATAACAGGGACAAAATGGACAGTAAAGAGAAGTCGCTGATTTCCGATAGGGTACA